TGGATTGTAACATTGTATTTTAGAAGTGGAGCACAGTTATAGCTTAAGCTTAATTTTGTTGCCTTTGTTCTACGCAATGTGGTCAGATTTAACAGTACTCCACACTTATATAAGGATTTTAACCTGATACGAACAAACAAATAGATTTTTTTGGCGATAAACTCTGGTGAACTGTGATATGAAGTGTACGGCTCATTACCTATGAATTCCCCAGATCAAGTATATTTCGAGCGATAAATGAAGATGTTGAATACGTTGAAGTATACAATGTTCGGAGTATAGTGGGCTATGTGCAGCGGTTGTTCCCGTAACCCAGTCAACCAATTTCTGCATTTCAAATAAAAGCCTTCCAGTTTCCTGTGTTACATAATCAGAAAAAGCGCAAGGAAGCAATGCACAATTTAGTATTTGTCTCGCTGATATTATGAAATATGCAGATTCTTGGGGGGGGGCACGTGGCCACTTTATACCTAACTCGCTCGTGTAGTACTGCGGGCACGCAGATTAAGGAGCCTTAACTAAATACAAAAGTAATCAATGAATAATGACCGTATCTTTCAGCAGCTTCATATAAAAAACTACAAAGAAAGAAACTACGAAGCAGTTAGCTTTGATCAATTCACTGAAGAATGTGCTACACATTTGATGCCATCTGTACCATCGCAGAGACGATTGAACACAACTGGCCTATGCAAGACCTGCAAAAGCATATTGATGTATAAAGTTGGTGTTTTCGTTTTTTCAGATAGGTCCGACAAGCGTTTGTCGATTCCAGAAGGACAGAAGGCTTGGTGAGCCGTGGCCGTGAAAACGAACCAGGGACCTACCCAGTGTATACTGCAGTGCGCCTCTAATCACTGCTCTCATCCTTACCCGTAGGAGAGAATAAGAGAATACACCTTGAAGAATGAGTAAAAAGGAAGCATTTAATAATGGTTATAAAATCCGCTTAAATGGCTGAGTTTCTAAGAAAATCCATGAGATGGCACCGCACGAATATTTGCCAAAAGATGGCACCCTCGCGACCCTGACTAACCGTAGAGGAACGACCAGACTGTGTTTACCAATCTTTCCGGGCCATACACAGTATTAATGTCTTTTCATTTTTCCACTTTTTCTCACTTTTTTATTTTATTAAGAGCATGTACAGTTTGCATAATCACGAGTACAAATAAATCCTTCCCATTTTCATTCCCATTCGGCAGTTACATTTTAAATATAAAATAGAAATATATAGCTGAGCTATATAAAATAGCTGAAAGCGAAATATTGGAACCTGGAACATTTCTGTAATGCTAGTCGGTGTCGAGTAGTTTCAATACTCTATAAGTCGCAAAAATTCAAAATAGATGATTCTATGGACTACCGATAATGAAATCTCAGGTGAAAGTGTGCAAATGTGAAACGTCTCCTTGGCCAGGAAATGCCGACAAACTAATACCGAACTTGCAGAAAGGTTTTAAACGATCTTTCTTGTTCTTTGCTTTTATGTGTTAGGTTAGCAGACATGAAAAGTCGTATTCTACAAAAAAAATTCTTTGTGATTGGGCTATAAAGAGAATGCTTGATTTTTCCTTACACGTTCATATAATAACTGGAAACTCTCTCACTGTTTTTACTGCCATTGATTTCTTTAATTCCGTGAATGTTGTAAAAGGTAAAGAAGTTTGTAAGCTGTGCGTAAAAGTCATGTCCAATTTTTATTAACAAAACAGTAAGCTGTTGCACGAGTAATCACTAGATTGAACGAAATCAACAACAAAAATATGAAAAAAATCCACTACATCTATCATTTTTGCATCTGGTCGGTTATATTCAGCGCCGTCATTGAACGTCCACTTGATGTGTAGACCAATGCAGAAAGTGCTTGTTCAGTGGTCCTTCTGTGGCAAAATGATTTGACAGTGCAAGAAAATTTCAACTATGTAGGCCAGAACAAGAAGGCTTTCAACTTCTTCTTCTTCTTTATTTCAAATCTGTCTCCGATCAAAAACATCGTCAAACATTTAGCGCAGAAAGGAGAAGAGGCAATTAAATTCAAACACCGAAGTTTTAAAACCACAATAAACTAGAGTTTATTCACCGTCTTCAGGAGGCGCTTGTCTCTAGAAGCACTCGAGCTGCTATTCCAGCGTGCAATGCCCGAGATACAGGAAACCGCTATGCTATGTAAGCTGAGAGTTCGAAAGTCTCCAAGAGACGTCTGTCTCTAAAAATACTCAACTCATATGCCAGCATGGAATCGCACGAGAAACAGACAACCGCTAACTGACGTCCGAACTTGTAAAACAACGCAGAGATCTTAAGGAGAGAAAAGCAGCAGTTACATTAGAAGCTGCAAACGAGGAAAGAAGGATTCGCAAAACTCACTGAAACTTCGCGAAATACAAAAATTAAGATGACTGCACACTGACGCCGCCCAGACGGAACAGTTACAGTTTCTAGAAAGCTGATGGAGGACACCATTCATGATTACTACTTGGATCTCCTTAATAGCTGCCTTCTTCCTCCTTCATGTGAATTAAAGGAGAATGTTTATGCCGTCATACTCGTTCCCATTGTTGAAATCGAACATGTTATGACGATAGTGAGGATTCGAAAAATTTCTGGTCTAGACAGGAAACCCGAGTAGCTGGAAAACTTTCGACCAGTACTTGCCAACAGCCTAGCTTGGCTGTTGAAACGTTACCTGTTAGAATTCAAACCTCCCTTCAATGGAAGACCAAAAGTCTGCCAAGGATGGTCACCTTCACAATATCCTACAGCCTAACCTACTTGAGGTTTGTCGCCTACGAACTCTTCAGTTCAGTTTTAAAAAAGACTGACACAACACTGGACGAAAGACCGCGGTGTGAGCAAGCAGACTTTCGAAAGAATTCAGTAACATCAACTACATTTACACGATAAAAAAACTCAAAATACTGCGAGAGTACAACAGACCGTCCTATTTCACTTTTAACGATTTAAGACAAGCTTTGGCCTCAGTTGAGATAGAGGTAGTGATGGAAGCCCAGGACAGCCAGCGCCTCTCTACACACTAGACCAAGATTCTTTTCGAACTATATGAAACTTTCACGCTCAAAATATCACCATTATACAACAATACGACACCGACTTCAGAAGAATTGTTAGCCAAGACGTTACCATCTCGTCAAGATTATTTACCGCCACCTTCGAGAAAGTCACGCGAACAGTGGAATAGGACAACATGGGAATGGAAGCTGATGGCGGGAAATTACACTATCTTCACTCCGCTGATGAAATCGTTCTCATAGCACCAAACATTAGCTAGGCAGAAAGGCTGCTGGCTCAGTTTGATAACGCTTTTGAAAAAAGTGGTTTTCGAATGAATGTCACAAAAACGGTGATCATATATCACGGATTAGTTTCCCATGTCTCAAACAGAACGCATGCCTTGGTGCGTCTACCCAGGTTGGAAAATCAACATGACGAAAGACTTAGCTTCAGAGCTGAGCAGCAAAAGCGATCGGCTTAGGAAGGTGTCAGGAGCATAGAGGTTGTAGTGAAAAGAAAAAAGAACAACCGAATCAGTGCCTATATTTCCGATACCACGATTCCTTCTGCCTTATCATATGCAACAAGATCCTTGCCCCTACGTAAGCAGGGCGAAATATCACTTCAGCGCTATAGAACGCGTAGTCAAGAGAACGATGCTACAAGTATATTGTTTCACGCAAGTGAAGGAAGAGATCCGAAGCTCAGACCTATGTCGGCGATTAGGATTTAGAGATGTTTTTCTCTAGACCAGACTGTCGAAGATAAAATGAGTCGGCCATGTAATGTGTATGAACGACAACCGATTGACAAAAACCGTTAGTGACTGGGTTCCTCAAGATGTTAAACGCACTGCAGAAAAACCCCTGACCGATGGTCAAAGTATCCACAAAAATGCTGGAAAGAAGACATGCTCCTTAAAGAATCCCTATAGTGAGCAGAACCAACTCTGATGCTCTTGAACACGACAGTGAGAAGGAGAAGATTTACCTGCTCGCGCTGGAGTCACTGCACGGCCAACGAAACTAGGGGTGATGTAGGTTGCAACAAATTTAGAATTTGATTTGCTTTTTGACAAATATTACTTTAGAATTTCAGGTTTAAGGAAAGCAGTTTCGACAGATCCGTTTCTACGTGTTCCGACTCGAACATAAGTAGCGCAAATGGTTCGTAAACTTTAATAGAATGCGAAAAAAAGCAAATTTCAACGAATGCACAGTGCAACGTTGGTTTGAAAAATTTGGTAGTAGGGAGTCCATAAGGTGGCAACCTTCCATATGCTTATGACGAGGTCGATTTCATGGTTTTGGAAGAAAAAAAACAAAAACAGTTGTTCAAGTGCTTGCAGAAAAACTCATTGTAAGCAACTCAACTTTTGGTACCGACTAGAATTGGAAAGTCAAAGAAGCTCGACAAATAAATGCCGCACAAGTTCAATGGCAAGAATGGACATCGTCGTTTTAAGACAGCGTCAACGCTTTTCCTGCACAACCAGAACGACGCGTTTCTCAATCGCATTGTAGCGTGCGACGAGAAATGGATCCTCTATGAAAACCATCGAGAATCGGCTCAATCAAGTCCAGCAACTCGACAGTCTACTTAAAACATCATGGGTCTCACCCCACATTAGTCAACAAGAAAGCACCAATCTTTCTGTATGATAACGCGACACATCTACAAATGGCGTTGCAAAGGTTGAACAAGCCGGCTTGGGTAATGTCCCATCATCTAGTATACTTGCCAAACCAGTTTGTTCTCAGCTGAGATATGCTATCTCAAGAGTCAGATCGAAATCAGGAAGCATTCGGATTTTTTCGGAAGCACCTAACAAGACCATATTCGACGTCATTATGTTTCAAATTTTAACTGAACAGTTGGTCAGTGGGATAAACTTCATCTCTTCTTTGTTGCAAGTTTTGCTGTACCAAATACTACCCTTTATATCCAGACCGGGGTGCAAAATAAAGGTGAGAGTGATAGATGTCTTACCCAAAGAGTCTTTTGTCACCAAGCACAACAGTCTTCAAATCACTTGCGATAACACGAACAACTTTTCGATACGTTTTTCCAGGTTCCCTAAAATACTATGAAGAGACATCGAAGCTTTAAAGAAAACATAATCACTCACCTTTCATGAGCCTTATGAACTCTGCCGATGCTGGTTATCGTGGGTGCGGTTTTCCCCATGATTGCTTTGGAAGTAGTTTTCTTAGTGTTACAATCTTCCACTTTCTAGAATAAAGATCAGTTTAACACAAAATTGACGACGAAATGAGTAGACAGTCATGTCTCTGATCATGATGTCCCTTATTGATTAAAATAGCAACAGATCGAATCTACACAACTCTACCGACAATGCGCATTTATTCCTATTCTACAACGATAAAATCCTAATTTTTTGGAATACATTAAATATAATTTATTGCTTTTCTTTTCAATCAAGGATTCTATGGCGAAACGATACAGCCGACGAAAATTCGCACAGTAAGGATCCGTGGTCTCCTTCAACGCATCACTGGTCAACTGCAGTGTACGTTTTCACTTTTTTGAATATTTAAGTTTAACCAAATTTAGAAATAAAGTTACATTGCAAGAGTTTAGGGGTGTGAGGTCTTTTTTTCTTGTGGTGGCCCACCTTTGACAATCTGCTGTGTAGGTCAGCGCATTTGATGTTTCATCGTTGACATACCTCGGAAGTTCAAATCCCTTCCTTCACCTGCGTGATACGGGATATTCCTGGCATCGTCCTTTTAACTCCACGTTCCACAACGCTGAGTGACAGTTTGTCCTTTCTAAATAGCGGCCAAGTTTCTGAGTTATACGTTAGGGCAGGAAGAATCGTGGAGTCGAAAAGGTGGACAGAGGATCAGGTGTCCGTTGTTCTTTTCACGACATCCTCGATGGTCTTGCTCCCCAAGTCGCTCGTTCACTCCTGCTCAACTATGGAGCAAAACAGCTTATCATGCTAATTTTCAGAACGGCTCAGGTAAGTCATTCGGAGGTACTAATTCTCACGGAGCTCCATCACTGAAGGATAACGATACGACTGATCGAAAGGCCTCGTGGCGCGTCCAAGGCGACAGATAGAAGAGTAACAACGGAGCAATAGCGAAATTTGCTCCCACGAAACGCTTGTAGATCCAGAGGATGGATTCTCTGTTCTTGTTACACCGATTTGGCACATTTATTTACGAAGGCATATTCATGCATGAATGCGTGGGTGCATCTTCGCTAGTTCAGATTCGAACCTGCAACTAAGTGTGACATCAAATGGCAGCCAGATACATCAGAGGTGGTTAGGAGTACTTTAGACAAATAAGCTTCTTTTCTTCTCTGGAAGAGAACTGCAACTCACCAGTGAATTTATCGATTTTCAGTATTAAGAGATTAGCAAGCTATTCGTGGGTGTCAAAAGTTAAACACAATGAGTCCTCTTCGCTACTGCGATAGAACAAAGTAGCCTCCACAGGTATATCAAGTTGTCAATTCCTCACAAAAATTGGGTGTAGCCGACATTGAGTTAATGGATGTAACTGGGATTTTCAATGCAGGCAAAAAACTTACCATAGAGATTTCGGACTTTTCTTTACCAGCAATAGTGACACGGCTTGCACTGGGACGATAACTACTAGCCACCGTTTCAGTACCAACATTTCTGGATTGATGTTCAATGTGACGACTACCAGAGCAAAGGTTATGATCCGTTTTTTCCTCATTCACATGCAAACGAATCTCGTCTTGTAAAGCACTAAATAAAAAGCCATGTAAGGTAAAAGGGAAGTATAAAGTGCTTCCTAATAATCAGTTCCTGAAGGAAGCGCCTCGCATTCGACTTCACTAAGCACTCGAAGAAGTAACTCAAAGGATCGATTTTCTATAAACCTCGGCGTAAATAGTCGATATAGTTATTTATATGTTCTTAAGAAATGATCTTGTGGAGCTGATGCGAGGTTGGTATAGCTGCCGTTGTTGTTGTCGTTGTTGTTGTCGGTCGATGGCTGACGTTTCAGCGATTTCTCTTTCCTAAGAGCCGTGCTGTTACGAGTGGGATTAGGTATAACCAACGAAAATAATAACAACAACGACAACTATACCAATCTCGCATCAGCTCAAACAGATCCGTTTATAAGAACATATAAATAAATAAGTCGAAGAAGTGTCTGAATGAATATATAGTCTACACAATGACTTGAGGTCTCCTGCACATGTACCAAGATATTGCTATCTTACCAGACAAATGTATCACTAATTTGCTAATCCCTGAGAGATAGAATGATTGGTTTACCTGAGACGCTTCATCAAGTTTATATTAGCAGAAACGGAATTTCAACTGCACTTACAATAAGCCTTTTACGCGGTGTGCTGCAACATCTGTCATTTCAATGAGAATCTCGCGAATGTGATTCTCTGCTGCATAAGAGATTAGTTGAAGGGCCTATGAAATTGACATCGTTAGTGATTGAAAAAGTTGAAGTGGTAAAAAAAACAAACGAACCTCTTCTTCCACATAAAAACTCGTACCCATACATTTTTGAATAGATGCCAGCATACCATACGGATGCAGAAATAAGTCAGAAAGCGATTCAGTGAACGTGTTTTCGCAACTAGCCGTCTGAACACGGAGCGAATTATTGCTCAGCAATATAAGGAAAATATGTGCAAAATTTCTTGGAAAAAGTCATGCATAAAAACCAATATGCGTGAAAGTCTATATCTGCAAAGGATTTTCGCTCTACTCCAAGCTATAAAGCATAAATCACCTTATTATGGAATATCCGAAACTGTACCTGCACATCGGCAACACAGTAGTGATCACAATGTTTCAGTTTTATTTACTGCCCAATCTTTTTTTTTAACAAGGCTTTATGTAGAATATAAAGGATAAAGGATAAAGCTCTTGGCTTTGATCCCTTAGGGATGCGCCATGCATTCGACTTCATTAAGCATCGCTGGAGGTGATTGAATGAATGTCTGGCCTTTGCAATGACTCGCGCTGCCCCGCCGTTGCATCGAGTCAGTGCTGCTATCCTTCCAGACAAGTCTGGTACGATTCGTCCACCCCGGAGGGTTGGAAGGCTCGATGAGCCACGGGTGCAGGGGTCAATCCCATGTGCGTGTCTCTGGGCGCCTACGACCACTGCGCCACAAGCGCTCTTTGTGTTTGTGTAAACTATAATCACAAGAATGCTGAGATGTCTGCAAATATCAGAACTTTAGTTGAGGTTCGAACCCACAACAACACTGTCCGGGGCTTACATGTAATCGACTGCACCAACCAACACAGTTGGTTTTTCTTTCTCTTGGCCATTTCTTCACCCTAACGATGTTACCAGCAATCGTCTGTCAACCGGAATGATCTGTGGTGCACAAATTGCCATTAAACTTAGTCAAGCTGAAGGTGCAATCGAAATCACAATGTTTTAAGGCTTGTTTACTGCATATTCTTTTTTATGGCAAAAGGAATTTTGTGAGATACAATCACAAAAATGCTAAGACATGTTCAAAATTCGAGACCTAAGATGACTTTCAAGCTCATAGGTAGCCCTTATGGCGCTTATGTTTTATCCACTGTACCATCCAACGCCCTTGTCCTGTCTTTCTGTGAGTGAGGAGTTTCTGGGAATCGCTGGGAACGCTCGCTGGGAATTTCTGGATGGGTTAACCTCTTTTTGGTGTGATTTTTTGTTTGATTTCTAGAATAGTTCTAATGTTAACATGTTTTCGAGGTTCAGTAGAGGTCCATATAAACTCAAATACCTGGGAGGAGTCGCAGTTAGGGTGCAAGCTGTGAACGCTGAGTTGGCATGTTGCCTCAGGGTAAACGGGCACGACTGCGGCTGGAGTCTGAAAAAAAATTACACGAACATTAAAGTAAAACACAAACATTGAACTCTTGTTTGTGGAAGAGTTTTGACAACGTGGTGAAAGACGGCTGTGTCGTTACCTCTCTAGAAGGAGTAGAGTAGTCCTGATATGATCGAGTTTCAGTCGGCTGCAAAAGTGGTTTCAAATAATATGGAAGAAGGTATTCGACGTTAATTCTACCTGAAATGTGTTCCAGTAAATTTGTAATGAGTATGACTAACATTATTTGTAGAATAAAGAAGCTGATCTTCGTTATGCAGTGTACACGACAACTCTTCAATGTTGGAATTTTCAACATTTATTTCACACGATAGTCAGTTAAATTCTGCGAATAATTCTACAAATCTACAACATCAAGTTCTTACACTGTGCAATCGCTTCAATGAAAGCCGGCACTGTTCTATGAAGAAATGGAAGCAAGTTCGGAGATGCATTCGCTTTAACAGTGCGTTCCACGAGTGCGGCAAATTGATCAATGGGTATCTCAGAATTGACCAGAAGCTGAAAAATCATTTCACTGAGTTTCTCTTTTTCGATACTTTAGATAACATCGACGGTGGACAATACCATCCTTTAATTGTTGCACTTGTTCCTTAGTGCTAAGGTTCCATCTCTTAGGAAATTCTCCTTGATCGCGGAAAGTCGTTGCAAGATCATTAAAGATCATTAAAGAGTCCACACATCTTTGATAAACGTCGAGTGCCAACCATTTTCTTATATTCGATAAGAAAAGCAATACTGCATGGGTTTACAGCATGGTGCTGATCGTAATAGCAGTATCGAAGGAAAAAGGCCCGGTATTCCTAGAAAGTATATCTGCGTCATCAGCGTGGCAATTAAATGGAGAACGACGGTGACCACCATTAACACCAAGAACATTGTCTTGAGTAAACTTATCCAAACTGTGAAAACATAGACGTCCACATTACAGCATGTGATCTTCACTTCACTAACATGCATTATGATTACTGCCAACTTTTTGTTCTATACGTTCTCTATCCCATCTCAAGATTCTAGCCGTGTTTTCTTTAGACCTTAGATTTCTACTTATATCTAGTGCCATACAATCTGCTGTTCTTCTGCGTCGACAGGTCAAGATGTGCGAAAGAATGTTCGTTCAAAAGACCGTTCAAAATGGATGGATGCTATGAAAATTAAGAACATTGTTCTATATAGGACGATTATTGCCCAACATTAGCGAAGTCGTTTACTTCAGCACCAATCCTCATTTTTTCCAAGTAGAGAATTTTTTTAAACAAGAGCCAAAATTATACGTAAAACTGAGAACGCATGAACCGAAAGAATCGCCAAAAATTTCTTAGTTAAAGATGAACTCAACAGCAGCGAAAATCTGAAGCGTCACTGCAAACACATGCATGAACGCACATGCACGATATCGCCTCTATTTCAGGAAAACGCAACTTGTCAAAGAACTCTTTATAAGTCAATATAGGAGAAGCAGGAAGAGGGAGAGTAAGCCTTTTCCCAGAAGCGTGGGAGCATGAAATGGAATGTTGCGAAACTTCTAAAACGACCAGAGCGAAAGTGTTGACTTCACGTTTCAGCCGGAATGATTCGAGTCGATGGTCCAAAAGTGAATCGTCCTTGGAATGTGGTCAACGGCAAAAATCAAAATTTCCACTCAGAAACTAGAACTAGCAGAATTTTCTCCGACATAAATGAGAATCGGATTTTCAGATCGCACAAGAAACACCATGAAAATAACGTTTAAGTAGACCAATGTGCTTGACAGGACGACAAAAATTGGCCTAGCGAAATTTGGTCTTCGAAGGACATTTTCTATAAAGTAGTATGAAGGGAAATTGGTGGACCACAGAAATCGTGTTTTACACGTAAAGGACCTTCTGTGAACAGTTCTCCAGAATTTCAAACTAGTTTTCAAATAAGCGAAGAATCAGAACAACCGCATTGATATTGGTGCTCATAATATTGAATCCAATGGCCCTTCAATAGTTGAGTGATTTGCCGTGGGTGAAAGCTGCCTTCCCAGGTGCCAATCTGTGAAATAAAAGGGTGATGCACCATCTGGTAGTGTCTTGCAACCTGAGAATGGTATCAAAATGTTGCCTCGAAAGGCTTCGGTAAACCACTACACCTCTATTTTTGCAACGATATAGTATTCACATAACATCAAGGGATAACGACGGGAAAGCCTCGGCATGGTTTTCGTGATACTAGAGGTAGCCATGTGGGTATATTGCTGAGGCCTGCTAAATAGCTCGTGTTCCTTGAAGGCAAGTTATTCAAGCATTCATGTCTCTGGAATTGAAGCATTTATAAAGTACTTATATCATAGGCAAAATAGCAACCAGTTATTGGTAAGGACTTCTTAAATTAGTTGTGAAGACGCAAACTGATTAAAGAACGACTACAGACAAGACATTCGTTGGTGGAGTCAGCTCTATCCAAGCTGCAGACAGCATAGTCAAGCAAACGTTCATCATTAACCGTCGCGAAGTAAAAACAGGAAAAAGGAAAATGGCTTAAAAGTAGTTTTGACACAAGACGATGTGAGCAGGAAATTTTTAAAAAACCTCGACAAAGAATGTCGTTGGCACTGACGGATAGGGAACTCACACTCTAACAGTCGTCCTGAATTTATAAAGAATTACAGTGTCACTGCCTGTACCAAAGGTTTTAAGGATAACTGTAAATACTAAAGGTATGTGCTTGTCACACTACTGTCATTGTTTATACGACCTGTAAATATGAAGAATAAAGTCGCACATGTATGAGCCTTTTTATCCTTTCGCTCAGGCTTTGGTCGATGGCTGCATTGAAGCTTCTGTCGATGGCGTCAGTTTCCAAGAGTAAAGCTTTGAAAAAGTGCATGAGGCCTTGGACAGGATCCGCTGGCGAAATGCTTTGCGGACTTGATATTGAATTAGCCGACGAGTAGTAATGCTGGCCAGACGCGTACGACGATGACATATTGTAAGTATCAAACGCTGAAAGAGTAGACATCCATTCATAAACTCATAATCAACAAATAGGTGAGTAAAATTCACCTGGTTGTTGAGTTGACGAAACAAACATGCCATTTTCTACTTCAAGATGTG